ACCAATTCTTTGGGCACATCAAAATGCTCAGCACACTACTGCTGACGAAACACAATCGGAGGCCGAGCGCCGCCAGACTTTGAAGTCGAGATTGGATCTGGAGGGGGATTAGATCTTCTGTTGGCAAATCTCATTCCATGGTCACAAGATCTGTATCTCCAATGACATGCCGCGTCGCCTCTAACAATCAGAGTGTCGGATCCAAACAGCGTCTGACCCATAAAAAAACGAAGGAGGTGAGGCCAAATAAAGAAAAATGACTTGTGGGGGGCACAAAAATGATGTGGGTCAGACAGCAGGCCCAGACAGCAAGGCAAGAAATAATGAATGGAGATAATAGAAATTATTCCTTCTGCAAAAAAATAAATAAATAGATTTCCAGGTCATTCATTCAATCTCGTCGGCTAGATTTTCTGTACAAGCAGGACAAATGTGCTTCCTCACACGAGATGTGTTATTATATTTATATATTGCCACAAAACTATGTAACCTGCAAGTTTAGATGGGACGATAGTGGAGAAAAGTTATTTCAGTGACACTCAAGGACAGCAAAATGGAGCCATGGTCAGCTAGAGAAGAAGTCCTAGCAGCTCGTGCTATGTGACGTTTTGTTTTAGAAAAGGCAATTCTGGACATTCTGAGCATTGAGCAAATAACACCAGTTCAGTTCCAGAAGATTGTATTGCTTGGAACAGAAAGAATCCTGAGAAGATAGATCTGCAGTTCCTAAGAACTTGGCTAGACCTCAGATTGCAGAACACCATTTACCAGTCAAATATCTGACTGTGACAATTCAAAATAATAATAATAATAACAACAACAACAATCAAATATCTGACTGTGTTGTAAGTCAGTCTCTGCTGAGTGATGACTCAGATTTCTCAGACAAAGAGCTACCAGCTAGCCCTGAGCCAGTAATTGAACAGCCAGCTACAGCTAGCTCTGAGCCAGAAGGAGAACAAGAGATCAGGTCACTGGCTGATCAGGAGTCACAGCCTACAGCTGACACTGAGCCAACTCCTTGTAGCTCTGAATCAGTAAACAAGTCTTCAGCAGCCACTCCCAACCCACCTACACCCTTGAAGCACAGACGCTGTCAGAGACACTTAGAGTTGCAAGAAAGGAGAAGTGTGAGACTCATGGCCCATAGTCAGCTGTCAACTGAAGAGATGAATGAGTAGTTTCAGGATGACTGCCAAGGAATTGGCTGGAAGTTTAGCGCATTAGTACTTGGTTATAAATTCAGCTGGGAAAAGCAGCAATTTGTGGATACAACAAGTACACTTTGCTACTGAGTTACCAATCTTGCTGCTACTGGACCTCTGCAGCCTCAAACCAGACCTGACAACTGGCTTTTCTGGAACCCCTGACCTTGGACTGGACTCGCTGCCTGGAACTCCTTGAGCCTAGACTGGACTTTGGTAAACCTACTCTCTGGATCCCCTGACTTTTTGCATGGACTTTGGTTACTCTCTGCAACCTTACCTGTGACCTGCCCTGCTGGATCCCAGCCCATGCCTCCTGGGGAAGCTACACCAGTACAGACTGTGACAATTCATAATAATAATAAAATATCTGACTGTGACCATTCATAATAACAACAATAGCAACAAGAACAAAAAGAACAGCAAGAGCACCATGGGAAAGCCCTATTTCACCCCATATGTCAAAGCTGCTTTTGTATTCCACAAGTGTTCTACCCAATTATCTAAACTCGCGCATGATGCCAGCAATGCTCGTTCCTCCTTACCCGTGTTTCCCTCTGCTAGCTATTTATCCTGGAAACATGTTTTGAAGTAAACAAGCCCATCTCCCTTCTCCTTGTCCCTTCCAGCTGTAAGATCTGCGCTGCCAAAACAAAACAAAATTGCCACACAAAAAAATACATCTCTTTCCACCCACATCACCTAAAAACAAGGTTCCTGGAATTGCACTTGGGTAGGAGAGCGATCCGTGGACACCTCAGGGTGCAAAAAAGTAGGAAAATGACATGAAGATGAACGGATGGGTGCTGCCCCTCACCAAACCCCACTTTGATTCTCACTGTGTGCATCACCACAATAGCGCATAGAGCAGCTTGCGCCAACAGAACTACAATGATATCTATCCCAGTGGCAGGAGTTCACCCTTTTTGTCAGGGCCATTGCCAATCTCAACCGTGAAGAAAAACCCCGGGGCCCAACCCAAATCCTGTCCTTTCATTCTTTAGCATTTGAAGAATCTCCATGGAAGGGCCATGGTTCTGTGGCATAGCATCTGCTTGGCATGCAGAAGGTCCCAGGTTCGATCCCTGGCATCTTCAGTTAAAAGGACTGGGAAGTGGGTGATGTGAAAGTTCTCAGCCTGAGACCCTGGAGAGCTGCTGTCAGTCAGAGTAGACAGTATTGATACTGATGGATTGATGGTCTGATTCCGTTTAAGGCAACTTCATGTGCACTGAAATGCAACTAACACAGCACATGAACACGCATAAACCTTCCTTACACTAAATCAGACTCTTGGTCCATCAAGGTCCATATTGTCTATTCAGACTGGCGGCACCTTTCCAAGGTCTCAGGCAGAGGTCCTTCACATCACCTCCTGCCTGATTCTTTTTAACTGGAGATGCCAGGGATTGAACCTGGGACCTTCTTCATGCCAAGCAGATGTTCTACCACTGAGCCACAGCCCCTTCCCCTCTACACATGGCATTACAGCAAGCTTGGGAGAGGCCACAGTGGGAGGGCTTCTGGACTTCTAGCCCCACTGGTGGACCTCCTGATGGCAACTGGGTTTGGGCCCCTGTGTGACACAGAGTGTTGGACTGGAGGGGCCATTGGCCTGATCCAACATGGCTTCTCTTATGTTCTTATGGCCCTGCTGGTGGACTTCCTGATGGCACCTGGCTTTTGGCCACTGTGTGACACAGAGTGTTGGACTGGATGGGCCATTGGCCTGAGCCAACATTGGCTTCTCTTATGTTCTTATGGCCCTGCTGGTGGACCTCCTAATGGCGCCTGGCTTTTGGCCACTGTATGACACCGAGTGTTGGACTGGATGGGCCATTGGCACACGCACACAGACTCCCGGGACAGCGCGGGACTCTCCCGCAGTAAGTAATTTTGGACTTGGCAACCCTAGCCATTTGCCTGATCTAACATGGCTTCTCTCATATTTATATGTCTGAGGCAGTGGTGCACTGTATTCTTGGTGCTTGGGGGCCACAGTGGAAGGGCTTCTGGATTCTGGCTGCACTAGTGGACCTCCTGAGGGCACCTGGGTTTTGGCCACCATGTGACACAGAGTGTTGGACTGGAGGGGCCACTGGCCTGATCCAACATGACTTCTCTTTATGTTCTTATAGCCCTGCTGGTGGACCTCCTGATGGAACCTGTGGTTTGGCCACTGTGTGACACAGAGTGTTGGACTGGAGGGACCATTGGCCTGATCCAACATGGCTTCTCTTATGTTCTTATATTCTGATGTAGAAGGAGATGGGATTCCCTCGCTTGCTGCCACCCTGCCCCAGTTCATTCTCCTGTCTTGCCAAAGCTTCCCAATTCAGCAAGAATGCCACAACACCTCATATGGCACAAGTGTGGCAGCCATGCCCCGCCCTTCACGTTGCCTCACTAGGGTTGCCAACTGATCTCCAGGCAACAGAGATCAATTCCCCTGAAGAGAATGGCCGCTTTGGAAGGCGCACTTTATGGCATTGTACCCCACTGAAGTTTCACCCCTTCCCAAACCCCACCCTCCTCTGGCTCCACCCCCAAAACCTCCAGGCACTTCCCAACCCATAGCTAGCAACCCTATTCCTCGCCCATGGATAGCTCATCAAGCATTCCTCTGCCATTGAGATCCAAAGTCTTAGTTCCTCGCGCTGAACTCCTAACCCCTTTTGGCAATCCCTGGCGGTGGCCAACAGCTGCCGTTCGTTGATTTGTATGCATTTTGCACAGATGCAATGCCGAGCAGGCCTGCATCGCTAAGACGACGCTTTGCTCCTGTCATTCCAGGCAGTCCCGCAAGTGGAGTGATGCACGCCGGATTGCCATCCGACGTCCGGGCGGGATCGTTCATTATCGGCACGTCTGGCAAGACATCACCTCGCCCATCATGGAGGTGAAGCGTCTTCCCCAGCGCAACCAAGCAGCTGTGCGGCCCCCGTGTATCAATATTTCATGACAGCTCGAGACAGGGAGGGAAAAATTCCTCTTTGAGACAAACATGCCGAACCCAACTGGAACAGCAGGGAGGCAATTACTCGGATCGGCCCGAGATGCCGCCCAGTCCATACATCTCAGGCAAGATGCCACAAGCTTTTTAACAGCCACAGGTGTCCGGGGCTTTCGCTTGGCATCTCGAAGGAAGGCAGATGCAGAGATGACAGCTGTTTGCTCCAAACTTTTAGATCAGTGCTTCACTCTCTGCAAGCTAACAAGTCCTGCGCTATGGAGAATTGAGCTGCACATGATTCTTTGCCTTGAGATCTTCATGGGTGTGTGTGTGTATATATTTAACCTCCCCGTTCTACTCTCTCCCTCTTTCTCCTCCGCTCTAGTTGTCTCGTTCCTTTCCCGTTGTTGTCTTGGTTACGTGGCCCGGGCTTCCCGATACGCTACTCGCTTCCATTGTAATAATACGCACTCTTAAAGCACAATATTTCACTTCAATTGCAAGTGTCACTGGAAAAAATTCCTTTGACGGGGATGACATTTGTATATCAACCAACTGATGCTGGTTTACGATTCCGGGGGACTTTGCAAGACTCACATGCATTGGACGTCTCCGGAGCTTGAAATACGATCTGTATCATCTTTTATACAAACATATAAACAACGAGCATCAATCAGTTCCAAAACTGCACGGAGGGGGGGAGAGAAGAGACGGCTAGAAAAGTTTTCCCAACTGTCATCTAAATTCTTTAGCGAGGGTTGACAATATGAAGGCGTGACACCAGAGAGAATATACATCCCCAGAACACATCACTAGTAATAATAACTTGGCTCAAGGCTCAATTATGGCAACATGCTCAACATGGGGCTACCGTTGAAGATGACTCGATTATTAGGGTTGACAAATACCTGGAGATTTCATGGGTGGAGCCTGAGGAAGGTGAGGTTTAGAAAGGGGAGGGACTTCGACTGAACATAATGCCAGAGAGTCCACCTTTAGAAGTGGCCATTTTCTTCAGACAAACTGGAGATCCATCCAGGGGTCATTTCGTAGAAAAAGAGGTGCAGGAGCTCATTAGCATAACTCATTAGCATAACTTATTTGCATATGCCACACACCCTGACATCACCGGAAGTGTGTCAGAAGGCAATACCCACCACTCAGGCTCCACTGGACTGTTTTGGATTGCTAGCTATTGGGGGGGGGGACGTGCAGATCTGTCCTCGCAGAGGAGGGAGAGCTTTTACCTGAATAAAACTTGGTCTTAAAGGTGCCACTGGACTGTTTTGGATTGCTAGCTACTGGG